AAAGTAGAAATAATTGAGAACATTTTGGTATTGCAAAGGCTTAAATAGTGGGAACAAGGGGTACTACAGGTGTTGGAATGAAAAGAATGTTTATGAGAGCATTTTTTATATTCTTGTACGTGTGTTTAATGGAGAAAGGAGTCTGAAAGTAAAAGATGAAGAACCATTACCATCTATAAGGACTAAGAGAATCAAGTTAAAAAGATAAGCTGAGCAGTGGATATCTTTTTCTGGTGTTCTCTGTAAATAATTATTTTTAGGTATTCTTACTGAGTTTCAAACCAATTTCATACTGTTTTGTCTGCACAGTATCTTCCTCAAGTCTTCCTGCGGCCATCAGAACAAACTCATACCCTAAGTATCTGTGTCCTTTAAACTATAAGCTACTGCCATATTATGGTATCCTGAACCCTTCTCCGTCCCCTGGAGAAATCCCATTTTGACAGTCCCATGGGGGAAGCAATGGTACGTGCCAGCTGCCTTTCGAATACTTTTTGGCACTGCCAAGTGGCTCGTGTAACAACAGAGTTCTACCTACTTCTCAGCAAGGGCATTAACTTCAGCCCTCCTTTTCTGCACGAGTGCCAGCTTTCAGAGAAGTTGGATGGGTTTAGTTATCTCTCAGACTTTTTTACTCCTATTTCAGGTTGCCTAATGTGTTCAAAAGTTATCAGGGCAGACTCATAGACTAAGTTAAAAATACAGAAAGGGGTTGCATTCTGAATCAAGGATACAATTATTGTATGTATTTTATGAGGTTTCTGATGCTTACCAGACAGTATCCACCTTAGAACGGTGGAAAGCAGCAGGTGGATGAAAAGAGTTCAGTATAAAATGCTCAGCCATTGTACTGTGCTCGGCAGGAGTGAGGAGGATGTGTAAGCTCATGCTTCGTTTCTGCGAACCACAGTTTGCCACACAACCAAAAGCGGCAGTGAGCTTTGGCAGCCATGTTAGGTAAGGGCAGCAAGATGCCACTCAGGTGGCCATCCTTTTTCTGGGCAGGAAGTCCATGTACATTTTATGATAGCCATCATAGCTGAGGGCAGAAACAGCCCACTCTATGGCCATCTTGGATAAGGGCAATGGAAGGGAGGTGACTGCCACATTGGTCCCCTAAAGAGCCGGTGTCTGTTTCAGGATGATGAAATGCAGCAGAGGTAGAGTTCATGTGCGCACCTGCCAAACATCTGGATTTTGGTTTGAGTGTGCCAAAGTGCAGGAGAGATTCTGTCGTCTTAATCACTTGATGAAAAATAAGATCTTTTGCTGAAGGAAGCCTGTTGTGAATTCTAAGTTAACTGTGATTGACTAGAGAAGAAACACACTGAGCATTGTTATAGGCCACTCCATGCCAGGTTTCTGAATATTGTGCAATGATGATCTAAAAGGCTACCAAAATATTAATATACATCAGATTAAGATTGTCAGTGGGGTGGTGTTGTGAACCAGTTGCTTGGTGGGAGATCCTGACTCAAGAAAGGTGGTTACATTTTAAATAGTGGGAACAAGGGGTACTACAGGTGTTGGAATGAAAAGAATGTTTATGAGAGCATTTTTTATATTCTTGTACGTGTGTTTAATGGAGAAAGGAGTCTGAAAGTAAAAGATGAAGAACCATTACCATCTATAAGGACTAAGAGAATCAAGTTAAAAAGATAAGCTGAGCAGTGGGTATCTTTTTCTGGTGTTCTCTGTAAATAATTATTTTTAGGTATTCTTACTGAGTTTCAAACCAATTTCATACTGTTTTGTCTGCACAGTATCTTCCTCAAGTCTTCCTGCGACCAGCAGAACAAACTCATACCCTAAGTATCTGTGTCCTTTAAACTATAAGCTACTGCCATATTATGGTATCCTGAACCCTTCTCCGTCCCCTGGAGAAATCCCATTTTGACAGTCCCATGGGGGAAGCAATGGTACGTGCCAGCTGCCTTTCGAATACTTTTTGGCACTGCCAAGTGGCTCGTGTAACAACAGAGTTCTACCTACTTCTCAGCAAGGGCATTAACTTCAGCCCTCCTTTTCTGCACGAGTGCCAGCTTTCAGAGAAGTTGGATGGGTTTAGTTATCTCTCAGACTTTTTTACTCCTATTTCAGGTTGCCTAATGTGTTCAAAAGTTATCAGGGCAGACTCATAGACTAAGTTAAAAATACAGAAAGGGGTTGCATTCTGAATCAAGGATACAATTATTGTATGTATTTTATGAGGTTTCTGATGCTTACCAGACAGTATCCACCTTAGAACGGTGGAAAGCAGCAGGTGGATGAAAAGAGTTCAGTATAAAATGCTCAGCCATTGTACTGTGCTCGGCAGGAGTGAGGAGGATGTGTAAGCTCATGCTTCGTTTCTGCGAACCACAGTTTGCCACACAACCAAAAGCGGCAGTGAGCTTTGGCAGCCATGTTAGGTAAGGGCAGCAAGATGCCACTCAGGTGGCCATCCTTTTTCTGGGCAGGAAGTCCATGTACATTTTATGATAGCCATCATAGCTGAGGGCAGAAATAGCCCACTCTATGGCCATCTTGGATAAGGGCAATGGAAGGGAGGTGACTGCCACATTGGTCCCCTAAAGAGCCGGTGTCTGTTTCAGGATGATGAAATGCAGCAGAGGTAGAGTTCATGTGCGCACCTGCCAAACATCTGGATTTTGGCTTGAGTGTGCCAAAGTGCAGGAGAGATTCTGTCGTCTTAATCACTTGATGAAAAATAAGATCTTTTGCTGAAGGAAGCCTGTTGTGAATTCTAAGTTAACTGTGATTGACTAGAGAAGAAACACACTGAGCATTGTTATAGGCCACTCCATGCCAGGTTTCTGAATATTGTGCAATGATGATCTAAAAGGCTACCAAAATATTAATATACATCAGATTAAGATTGTCAGTGGGGTGGTGTTGTGAACCAGTTGCTTGGTGGGAGATCCTGACTCAAGAAAGGTGGTTACATTTTGAATGAATGAGGCATACTGTATAGCAAAAGTTCAATTTCTAGTATAAAAATGAAGATGCAAACTCATAATGAAAACAGAATAAACAGGTTAAGGATGAAGTTGGAGATGTGCAGTTTTCTACTGAGTTCTCATCCCTTAAACTCATTCATCATCAATTTGCTAAATTAATTTCTCAGTAATACAATAAATTGTATGTATAATTGCATTATTTTAAGCCATGCCAAATTTTAAAACATGACAGTCAATAAAGGCATTTATTGCTACACAGAGCAATGTGGAAACATACAGCAAAATTTGAACTGTTATTTACATCCTAATGTTGCATCTTTTGCAAAACAAACTTGCCTCGGAAGTTGCTTCTGAGACATTCAGAATCAAGCTGAACTGTCTAAAGTAAGGAATTGTTTTGGAGCAATAGGTTCATTTTCCTGGAGCTCTAGATGTGTGAATTTGAATGTTAACAGTACAGAAATGTAGAGCACATCAATCACTTCGTGTCCACTAGAGGACTGGGGGGAGGACTAGCTGTGCGGCATGTCAGACTAAGTAGCTCAGACCAGTGTTTGCTGACTGATAGTTGCTTTTGAGATGCAGTGACTGAAAACGTAATCACTTTTTTCTGAAGTAGGAAAAGCGGCCTCACAAAGTAAGTTAAACAAGGAGCAGCAAGATTATTGTGACACTGTGGTGATTCTGCAATTTGTTGAAATATTCCAGTTGCAATTCTTGATAAAATTCACAGTATTCTGTGCATGCACCATAGTGTGCATCACTGGGCAGTCACAGGAGTAAATGGTCTAGTTGCAGTGTATGTCAAGACAGCGACAATCCAATTTGAATTTTTGGATACCTGTTTGGTTTAGGAGCTGCTGAATACGTATACATTCTACAAATGTGTTCTCTAGCAGTGTGTTTCTGTCCATGCTGGTGTATCATGAGAAGAAAATGGAGCAAGATCATGTCCTCAGAATGATGATTATTACTGGAAAAGAACAACAGGTATTTGCTAATAGGTTATTTGCTGGTTTCATGATCGCATTGAAAAAGTGCCAAATTATCCTGAACTAATAAAGATCATAGGTAACATGAAGCCTGTAGTACATCTAAGAGCTGATTTAGACTTCAGTTTTAACTATGAACTTCACTACACAGTGTTTCAACCATTGTATGTAAACCACTTGTAAAAGATTCCGTACGGATACAGACGTTGGTATGTGTGTGTCTGACCACTGAGTCCCTCTGCTTCCAGTGGCAGTGATCACACAAAATCCTTTTTATAAGCTCACCCAGCTTCTCAAAACTTATTAGGACTTTACTCTCCACTACTCTTGTTGGAAAGCATCATTCAAAACCTTATTTCTCCAGTGATTAGTAAATTTATGCTAATTATCTTATTCAAGTATGGTTACACTTTTTTGTTGTAGCGCTATCATTGTTATTTAGTTTCAGACTTATTTTCTGGTTTTGATCTTTTAACTCTGACTGATTATGTAAAGAACAATTGCATTACCTTTCAGCATTAATTTTGAAAGAATAAGCAACTCAGCTGGTTTAATCCTCTCTTGTCAGGTAGATTCTGCATTTATCTCATTTTCGTTCTGACCCTTCCCTGCTCCTATTTCTAGCTGGTGTTAAGCTTATTAAAAGATACTCATACCCAGCGTACAAATGAGTATCTTGCTAATGTAACAGACAGTTATATTAATCTAATATACCTAGTAAGTATACATAGAATTTACTACTTAATTTATACAATATCTCAAATATATGCATGTTATACAATTATACATAAAATATATTATTTATAAACATACTCTATTTATCCTGTTTATTTATACAATATACATCATATAGTGTGTTGATAATATATGTATATGGCATATATAAATAAGTATAACATGCATACTATTAATACAGTATTATGCTAATATAGAACTAATTTTACATACAATGTTTCTTAATCTCTAATGAAATTAGGTAGGTTGGTACATCTGGCATTTTCGCTGCTTTATCATTTTAGTAGAACATAGTCATCACGTAACCAGCTCTCAGTTGCTTTTCTATTGATACGAGGCTGACTTTTTGAAATGTTTGATGTTTTCTGTGTCTGTCTGAAAAATAAGGAAAAGTGTTTTTAAAATTAGCATGACATTTCTGTTGTTTGTTTGTTTTAAATAAATGTATTTATTAGACCAGATCTAATTTTCAGATACAAATATTGCTTTAAATTGAAATCCCAAGGCAGAGGGGTGGAGGAGGGAAAGGTGAGATGAGCAGAAGATGTTTATCCAATTCTTTGGTGTTATTCGGTGGACACGAACAGTCTGCACAGTCACTCCCTAGTGAAGCTGATGGAAATTGGCCAGCCAGCAGCCGGCACAACATTTGCTGCTACCTGATAGAAAGCACCCTGCTGAGAGCGGCGGGACAGAGCGGTAGAGATAGCAGCTGTAGGAGAAAGATAGAGGGTGGAAGAAAGCAAGGGGGGCTCCAATGCTGCACGGTTTTGGCTCTTCAGAGTCCAGCTCTCCCACACAGGCCAAAACTCATTTTTATTCCAGCACCTGACATCACAGGGGATGCTTTTTCTAGAAGATGCTCTTCCCCAAACCCTACCGAATGTTTATATGAGCAGATTGCTGTCTTTCTGCAAAATAAGACAGCATTTACAGAGCTTTGTAAGGGCAAATTCCGTATGCAGAGCCCTACTGTTTCATGAGCTTGTGCTGCCATTTGTGGCAAACCATTCTCGGTTAATAGATTCCCATCTTTGACGTCTGTATTTTGTCCTGCACCAATACACTTCTTGAAGGAGAAAGCAGTCAGTTCTCAGCTGTTCTAAACGTTACAGTACTTAAAGTACATGCAGAATTTTTAAAATTCTTTTTCTTAAACAACTGACATCTGTTCTCAACCGAGGAAGATCATCACATTTTACCAAAACTAAAATGTATTTGAGAATGGCCAGGTGAAAATCTTCCTGAACTAATGTTTCCCTGGTGATTTGGAATGTCTCCAGTAGGTGAGAATCCTCTGTTTTTTAGCAACTTCTTTCTCAAAGATCGCGTCTCGTCCTCTCAGCTTCCTCCCGCCAAGAGAGCAGAGAATATCCGTCTTACGAAGTACTTTACTCCTATTATTTTACTTGTGTATATTGAGACTTTTTATTCACATGAAAACTTACAAATTGAGGCCAGCAAAAACTGGAAGGGAATGCATGATAATAATAGGTCAAATTTTGTTCTGCTGATGATTGATAGCAAGAATGTCAACAAGGGAAAGTATAAAAATATAAACAAGGGGAGGCTTGTAAGAAGCCGTGGGATGATACCTTTTCTTCAGCCAAGTGATAACAGCTTTTGGCCAGGCCCTGTTTCAGCTCTTCAGTGGAAACAGCAAATGAAATACCGTGGCAGAATCATTGCTCTGCATGTAACCTGCTGAAGCTAAGCCTTAGGCGTGTCTTACTTTGGGTAGTGACTTTTTACGGAACTCGGGAGTTAACTACTGAAAAAGTTCGTGAGTCTTACGTGGCATCGTGGTAAAATACCGGAAGCAACCAGAGAGAGCGAGAGCCTTCCTGTGCAGCCGCTCCCGCTGCACGCGGCGTAACTCCACTCGGAGCTTATCTCTCAAACGCACTTTGCCACTAATGGGTTATGATAACGGAAGGCTGCTGATTCTTAAATTATTACAATGATAATGTTGTGTATTATAATTTTGTCTGAGTTACGTGTTTGTTCCTCCTTTGTCGAGGAAATTACTATCGTGATCAAAGCATACTTTTCATTTCTAGCGGTTTGGCTTTGATAGAGAAACAAATGTTGTTAATGGGTCTTAAGGAAGCAGTGTGCCTGAATAGTCATACATTTTCTGTTAAGCGTGTATAGATGTGGTAGCTTGGTTTTAATATTTGCAAATTCTATTGGGAAAGAGCGGCCTGCTTTGAGGCAACCGGCCTGCCTGCACCTGCTGCTGCTGCTGCTGGTGGTCTGGGGGGTAACACGAGTTACTCGGTTCAGGAGGGGAGCGGCGGTGATGGCGGTTATTTTGTTTGGTTTTTTGCATAATAAAGTAACTATTTTGCACTTTCAACTCCACTTAATGTTTCCTACTGAAATATAAACGGGACCTGGACTGTGCTAAAAGAGTATTTGAAAGCTCTCACATTATTAAATCAAGAGCTTGGCTTTTGGCTAAGGCACTAAAATAGGTTTTAAGAGATTTGGATGCTTTAACTTTTACTATTCCCGTTTCCTGTGCAGCCTAGGGGAAAGCTGCCCGACCATCAGCCTGTGGATAGTTCCGCCTGGCTGCTGACAGGCGCTCAGCGTTGCGCAGGACGTGCCTGTCGATGCCTTAGCCACAGCCTCGTCCGGATGCTGTGCGCTCGCACGCCAGACAGGGAAGGAAAATGGCTATGG